CTCTGTCCTTGCTGGCACTTCCTGTCCTACGGTGTCTGCATGCGGGTGCACGCGTCCATAGACTTACCTTGCGTCTCTCCTCGTCTCCCGGCCGAAAATCTGAACAGATCCTTTGGGGCCGCCTGAGATTTTTCACATTTTCAAACGGGAGCGCGCGGGGAAGACACAGGTGAGTATTAACCCTTTTTAAAGTGCTTGCTAGCAGTAGATATATGCAAAAAAAAAAAAACGGAGGCTTTATTAACCCATTTAATAGCCCATTGTTGCTGCGGTCAAATATGTGACATATTTTACCGCAGAAAAAGTGGGCGTGACTACGTTAAAATGTGTGACCACGTGACAGTTCACACATTCCACCGCCGAGAAACTGGGCGGGATTAGATTAAAATGTCACACATTCTAACGCAGTCACAAACTTTGATAGAACACCGGCTGCAGTGCGGCTCTGCGCTCTCAGTATATAGCGGGAAATAGCCCGCTATATACTGAGTTTTGGGTCACGGGAGGACATTAGTAAATGTTCTCCTGTGACCCTAAAGAGAAGTATGACCAAAAAAGGTTGGGCCATAGTTCTCTTTTACAAGAGAACTATGGGGTAACCTTTTTATCCCATAGTTCTCTTTAGGGTCACAGGAGGACATATACTAACTTCCTCCCGTGACCCAAAGCTCAGTATATAGCGAGCTATTTCCCGCTATATACTGAGAGCGCAGCAGCTGGGACGGATCCCGACAATACTGTTGAGATCCACCCAGCTGGCTGATTGACAACGGGCTCTGCCTATCTGCGGACACATCATTTTTACTTTGATTTGACGCGGCTCAACGCAGCACACTATTACTGAGCCCCATGCAGCTGTGTTCACGAACTTATAATATACAATACTGCTGTGTTCAGACCCGTATATTACCCATATCACGCAGTACGGTTCTGACCGCCGCGTTTTTATGCCCATGTGCATGAGCCCGAACAGTCCCTCGCAAGATGCAAACGCAACATGCCACGAAGGGCGACCCACAATGTGTTTTCCCTGCCACAGGAAAGCGTCCTTCCAGATTTTCCAGGAATGTCAGGATTTATGCTGTGGCTACCAGGAAAGGTGTGAGGATAGACAGACATCACCACACAGGACACGGTGACATCTGCAAGTCACACAGCCACCACCATGCAGCACCCTCAACGTGTCACTTGTTGCCACCCACAACATTCCATCATGTCCCCTCTCTCCACTCCTCTTCTAGTTCTCATATACTCACACGGCCGGTATCTGGGAAGCATGGCTCATGGTTCGGACTATCAGTTAATTCTGCAAATAGAAGAGTCAAAGTTCCATTCCAATCAGCAAAGAAAGTGAAACCGGATCCATCCGGGCCAGCGGAGGTGCGGCGAGTGCGGTGTACAGCAGGGGGCGCTTAGGAGGGACCGCTATTGGCATGTATGGAATTC